GCTGAGGAAATATTGCGGGAGAAGACTCAAGGCCATGTCTGCATCTGACCGCTGGTGAAGGCTGTGCCCATTTGGCAGATGAAGCCAAAGGAAGCTGAGGTCAGGCAGCCGGAGAATGCAGAGTAAGCTCTCCCTAGAGGCCTGAGCCCTGATGCAGACTAGAGCCCTTAGCATCTCCTGATACTTCCTGGACTGAGAACCAGAACTCTGGGCTGTCTAAGCTGGAGAAATAACACTGGAGTGGGCAAGCAAGGGAGGCCCCGGGTGGGTCTGGGTGAGCATGAGAGGAGGAACTCAGAGAGAGAGAGGCAGAGGGATTGCCAAAGGGTAGGTGGGGGAGGAAGCCCCAGCTGTCTTCTTTGCTGTGTGCTGGCTGGAAGCCTTGGCGGGGTGGAATGTGCAGTAAGGGAGGTATGGACTTCTATTTAACCCCAGAATGGTTCCTCCTCTCAGGACCTCTGGATGTTCCCAAATATTCTGATGTTCAACCCAGAGGCTGCTAGGGCCATCCTGGAGTACAGAGTCCGAACACTGGGAGGGGCCCTGAAGAATGCCCAGAACCTAGGCTACCAGGTAACGGGGCCTGGGTACCATCCCATAGGGTCCCTGCCCCAGGGTCTTCCCGGTGCCATTCAGTGACCACCAGACCCCTAAGCCTCCTCTTTCCTTTCCACCACAAAGGACTGCACCTCTTGTAGGACTGGACTGGCCTTCCAGGCCAAGACCTGACCATTGCATCCTCTTTCCTCCCAGGGAGCCAAGTTCGCTTGGGAAAGTGCAAGCACTGGGCTGGAGGTCTGCCCTGAGGACATTTATGGGATCCAGGAGGTCCACGTGAATGGAGCCGTGGTGCTGGCCTTCCAGCTGTACTACCACTGCACTCAGGTGAGGCATCACTGTGTCCCATGTGTGCCCACGCACCTCTTGAGGCCATGACCCTGGGAAGATGTGTGAAGAGAAAGCATTGCTTTCTGGGTGTTCGGAAGGTCGGCACCAGCCATTCACAGTGGCCCTCTTGTACACCCGGTCCTTTACCCCGCTCTCCCTCTCCAGGACCTGCAGCTCTTCCAAGAGGCTGGTGGCTGGGATGTGGTCAGCGCGGTAGCTGAGTTTTGGTGCAGCCGTGTAGAATGGAGCCCCCAGGAGAAGATGTACCACCTGAAAGGTGAGGACTAGGGAGCACAGGGGCCAGCGTGGCATGGACTGCCACCATGGAAGGGCGTGTCCTGAGCCCCTACACTAACTGTCATGGTGGCCCCCTGTGACCAGGAGTCATGCCGCCTGATGAATACCACTCAGGAGTCAACAACTCTGTGTACACCAACGTCCTGGTCCAGAACAGGTCAGACAGAAGGCATCCCCTTCCCTAGCCCAGCACAGCAGACAGGGCCCAGTCAGAAGCTGTGCAACTGTGGCTTGTACCCTCCCCAGCCTGCACTTCGCTGCTGCATTGGCCAAGGACCTGGGTCTGTCTGTCCCCAACCAGTGGCTGGAGGTGGCAGATAAGATCAAGGTGCCATTTGACTCTGAGCAGAACTTCCACCCTGAGTTTGACGGCTATGAGCGAGGTGAGTGGTACTGAGTCCTTCAAGGGCCCTTCTGATTGGTCACCTCCCCCTCCATACTCACCCTGTAACACCCTCATCCCTTTGACCAAGAACCCATCCCTATCCTGCTGCCCCTCCCCCCAAATCAGGAGAAGAAGTGAAACAGGCAGATGTTGTGCTCCTGGGATACCCAGTTCCCTTTCCCCTGACACCCGACATCCGAAGGAAAAATCTGGAGATTTATGAGCCTGTGACATCCCCCCAGGGCCCTGCAATGACTTGGGTGAGGAGCCTGGTGGGTAGTCTTACCCTACTGTCCTCCCCTTCCTTCCCACATGGTGAGTCTAACTGCTTCATATCTGGATCCTGACCTCAGAGTATGTTTGCTGTGGGCTGGATGGAGCTGAGGGACCCCTCAAGGGCCCAGGTCCTCCTGAGCAAGAGCTTCATCAATGCCACCGAGCCCTTTAAGGTCAGCCTGGCTTCTGCCCACCACCCACTGCCTCCCTCTTCTCCCTCTGTGGTAGTCTCAGTGGGGGAAGGGTCCTGCTGAGGCTGGACCCACGTCCCAGCCTCATGTCCCAGCCGCTCTTGCTGCCTGCAGGTGTGGACGGAGAATGCGGATGGGTCTGGCGCAGTGAACTTCTTGACGGGCATGGGGGGCTTTCTGCAGGCGGCACTCTTCGGGTGCACAGGATTCAGGTGAGTGCAGTGACCAGCGGCGAATTCCCACTTGTCCCAACCCCCTTCACACAGCTCTCCCTCACAGGATCACTGAGGCAGGTGTGACCTTTGACCCCCTGTGTCCAGACCTGATCTCCAGAGTGTCTGTCTCTGGCATCTCCTACCTGGGGAACAAGTTCAACTTCACCTTTTCCAAGGACACGGTGACACTTGAGGTCACAGTCCGTGCAGAACCCTGGGCGCCCCTGCTAGAAGCTGAGCTGTGGCCATCGATGACCCGGCTCCCCCTGCCACCAGGTAAGGAAAAGCCTTTGGGTTCTGTGGCGCAGAAGTCTTGGTGCATGCCCTAAAGGATTAACCCTCTCTTTTGTAGGACATAAGGTCTGCTTTCCCCACTCAGCTGGCCGGATACAAAAATCATCCTCCTAGCTGTCCAGAAATTCCAACTCTTCAGTGTTTCCTGAAAGGAACCCCCTTTCAGTACCTCTGGGACACTTTTGGACCCTCAGCTGCATTCCCCACCCACACAGTCTCTCAATCTGGATCCAGGCCTAAGCCATTAGGGTTATTGGGCGTTCCCTCTGCATCTTCCCCTTCCTCCTTCCTCTCCTTACCCTCTCCTGTACTGGGTTGTCTATCTAGAGCTTCATACATTCCTTGCTTTGAGGCTGACCCCAGCACCCAACCCTTCAGCTCCCCATTTTGCTGTCTCCCTAATCCTTAACTTCCTTGCTCACCTCTGGTCTCTGATCTGCTCTGGTCAAAGAGCTGGGTGGGGAATGGTCAGCAGTCCTGCTGAGGAGGTGGCCAGCAGGTGGGTCATGGAATCAGGGGCTTAGCTACCCAAATAAGAGCTTCCTGTGGCATGCAGTTGGGACCACGCCGGACTGGTCAAGTTCTCAAGAGTTTGTGGCTTTGAGCTTCCTCTTCTTTGACTCCTCTTGACGTCAGTTGGTGTCTAGTATAGCGGGCTAGGGTGAAAGCCGTTAACCATGGGAGAAGGAAGACGGCACTGTCACCAGAGGGTGCAGTAGATGAACATCAGAGCAAGACCACCAAGTTCCTGGCTGGCAACCAGAGAAACTGGAGTCAAATGAGCCGAGAAGCTGCCCAGGTTTTGCTTCTAACCCTCAGTTCCTGGCATACTTTTATCAGTGTTTCCCTCAGAACAAGGTGCATAGAACAGGGCCAGGATCCTGGTAAAAACCTGTGCCCCTCTACCAAACCAGCTTGGCTAATTAAAGTCAGTGGGGGCAAAAGCTCCTGAAGTCGGGTGTGTGATGGATTCATGTCCCTTTGCATCTGGGGCTGAATAGGGATGTGGTTACAAACCTCAGCGGCAAGGTGGGGCCCTTGCATCTTCCTCCACCTTTTTTACGGTAGGCCAGGGCGTTATCTGGCAGAAGTGGGTGTTCATCGTTGCCTCAAAGCCAGGACTGGGCATGGGCATCAGCAGGTTGGTTGGTGACAGTGCCCCCAAAGACTAGATGTAACCCAGTACCTGGGTGTGCGTAAGAGTAAGTGGTCACTTCTGTGCATGTGTTATGGTAAGCTTCTGGGGCCTTGAGGGTGACAGAATTGTAGGCTGACATAGCAGATCGGGTCTGAGTAGCCTGGGGCAGGGGAAGCTGTTGCTGATGTCCCACTGGCTTGACCACACACTCTGTCCTCGGCACCGGGGCACAAACCAAGCAATCCTTTCCCAAATTATATACGGAGGCTGGCAAAATATCCTAGGCTTGGGGACATCTATCCAGTTACAGATAAGTCCCTGTAGCCTGCAGGAGTTGGCCTTTTCTTCAACTAGACCAGGGGCTCATGGTCAGTACATTGTCTCTATCTTTGTCAAAGCACAGCCCCACTGTCCTTGTCCCTTGTCCACAGTAGGATTAGTGCCCAGCACTAACTTCATCTCCATTCCCAAACACAGGTCATCATCATATGGCCCTATCTTCAGGGGTTGACTTGGCAAAGTCAGTAGCCTAGAGCTCCTCAGGGCCCGCTTTTGGCTATAGGCGTGTAACTGTGGGGAGCTGCCTCTGGTCTCTGAGTAGGATAGCTCAGCAGAAGCCTCCAGCCTAGAAAGAACTGGCTGGGAGGAGGGGCTCCTGGGGAGGAAGGGGGCCTGGGTGGAGTACTCAACCCCTGAGCCTACTTTTGGTTAAGAGCTATGCAGTTAGCTTGCTCTGTCATAGGCTGGCCACAGTGAGAAACGTGTGGGGTGGAGGGGCTCATTGCAGCCTCATCAGGGGTATGTCCTTGTGTCTGCTGAATCTAGTGTGGGAGCCAGGGGCATATGACACAAAGGAAAAATAACAGGAGAACTTGCACCTGGCACCACTGGAGGCTCAGAGTTATCCATGCCCAATGCCTGTCTGCCTCTGAACACAGGCGAGCGAAAGAGAAGGCTGGAGTCCAGTGTCCAGTCCCACATAGGAAATGGACCCTACCTACCTTCCCCACAGCCTCTACTGACCCAGGACAGAAGAAGACCACTGTGGCGCATGAGGACTCGGGGCACACCCTCACATGTTCTGGGACACAGCCCATCAAACCACAGGGTAGTAGGAATCAAAGGCCCGAGTTCCCGAACTTCATCCTAAAATACTTAGACTCCTCCACCCCAGAAGCCACAGGCTGTCCCATATCCAAGCAAAAGCAGTAGTCAGGGGCAGCCAAGCAGACAGAATCAGATGACTGGGAGTTGGCCAGAGGATCTGGTGCTGGGTCTTCCTACATAACTACCACCAAGAAGGAGGAACCCACACGTTTCTGGAATCTGCCACCTTTAATCATGAATGGAGGCGCAGCCTGGTAAGTGGGGGAAACCGGGCAAAGTCAGGTACTGAGGACCCTCTAGGTTAGAGGTAAAGTCTAAGGGGTCTGAGTGGGTCAGTGTCGAATACACATGGTGGACAAGAGGGTAGCCTCTGGGGTCATGGTTGGGCAGGGACCAAGGTACTGTGGTAGGCTCTAACTCCCAGGAACTGGTGTTGGGCACCTGGGTTCAGTGACCTTGGAACTCTCAGTTATAGTCCTCGTCATCAAACTTGGTGGTGAAGAAAGCCGCAGAGTCTTTGGCCAGCCGGGACAGATGCAAGGCTCCGGTCACCACCAGCCCGAGGAGCAACAATGGGGGTACCAATGTCCACATTGCCGCCAGGATGTTGTAGCATTTAGCTTTGGAGCCATAGTGCCTCGCAGCCTCCAGGTCCCCAGCTATCTTCTGGTCTCGGGCCTGCAGAGCCAAAATGTTACACGTTCTGGTCCCCCTTCATAAGGGACCAGAGACCACCCAGAGCAACTGTAGGGCACAGGCTGGACTCCAGAGGGGCATGGCTTGAGGAGATATCCCGCTGGGCTGGGCCTATAGTCTCCCAGCTTGGCACAGTTTGGCTCTTGGCAGGGTCCTGAGTCATGACGGCCCCAGCCTAAAGGCTACAGATAAAGAATCAGTGGCCATTGTGGGCCAGCAGCGTCCTTGGGAGCCTCCTGTGGGAGAAGAGGCTTAGGAAACCAAGAACTCCATCCCATTCAGGAGCTATAGAGGGAATCCTCTATGTGCAACCTTTAAGGACTTTCCCCTTTTGGGGGGACTTTATAGCCATGCCTGTGAACAGTGCATTCGCCCATTAATGGATAAGTTCCCATGGTCCCCAAACTTGATGAGGGACAGAGGCTGTACTAACACACCCCTTCGAATACGTTTCTTTTGAATCCCTACCCCTGCCCCACACTCGCATATTCTCCCTCCCCAGCCCTTCCCCGTAAGCCTTGAAGCTAACCTTGACCGAGTGGACCAGCGCCAGGAAACCGAGGCAGCACAGGTTCAGATAGACGGTGCTGAAGACTGACCACAGGAGATGGTCTCGTGGCATAGGGCCCGGTGTTCCCATGGAGAGGGCCGTGTGGGCAGCAGCATCAGCCTTGCGGGATGATGGAGCCCGGGGGTCCTCACGGGGATAGGAAGTGTCCATGGGTTCCAGCGCCGTGTCTTCCTAGCTGAGGCTTGTGCTCTCTGAGTACCACCAGGCTTGCTTATAGCCCGACGCTACCCTCCCTAGCTGGCCAGCCCCACCCGCTATATATAACACAAATTACAGCCTCGGCCTGCCAAGTAGTGTGGCCCGCCCTTGCACCCCAGCATCCCCCACCCCTCGCAAAAGACCCCATCAAAGGCCACCGCGTCACATGGGCAGAGGCTGCGGACCACCCACCAGAGTGCCCCCTGCAGTCCCGACTATCCAGAAGGCTGCTCCAGGCCGCTGGGTGCAAACAGTTCCATGGTGGACCCTGAGGATGCCTCAGTTCGAGGGGGCAGCCAGGGCTCCCTCCTCAGGACCAGAGCTGCATATACCATAGCACAAACGGGAGAGCAAACGCGTACTTGCTGGAGGTGAATGCTAAGAAGAAAAGAGCAGGCAGAAAGGAATAAGGAAGGAGACTGCCCCGTCCCACCACAGACTACAAGAAGCCCCTCCCCGCTCCCTGTGATAGGCATTCCCTCCAGCTAGCTCCTGGGCCTGTTAGAGATACCCTTCCCAATCTTAAAATTTGAGTGGAATAGTAAAGGGGACTTCAGGATCTTCCCAGCTCAAAAACGTTAGCTCTTCCGCCACACCTCCACTGCCCAGCCTTCCTCAGGTATGCAGGCCAAGAGCCTGGGTCACTCTTGCCCATGCCACTAGGATCACTAGACACCCACCAAGCAAGCAGTGTTGGGGCCTGCAGGAGAGTCTGAGTGTGTGACCTGAAGCAGGGAGACCTCAGTGGACAGGGAAGATGACTGGCAGGGACCTAATCAGAGCATCTGACTCTCAGATGACTCTCTCCAAGGTCCCTTGTCCTTTGGTCTCCTCCAGCCCGGGGGCCGGGAAGATGAGTGATGTTACTATCCCAGGCCTATTCCTCCACCACCAAGTACCTGTCCACCAGTGCCCTGGTCTTCCCTGCCTTAGCAGCCACTGCTTTGGCAGTACTATTTCTACCTTGTTTCTGCAAGTTCTGTTAATCTCAGAGACTTCTTTTTAAATATTCATTGTTACGATTTTGAATTATGGATGCGGGGGTGGGTATGTGGATATGAGTGCAGGTGCCCGCGAAGGCCAGTAGTGCCAGACTTCTAGAGCTGGCGTTACAGGTAGCGGTGAGCTGCCCCATGTGGGTGCTAGGAATCAAGCTCACAGACATCTCTTCAGAAGACAGATCCTGCCTTCTAGTCCTGCCGTGTCCTCCCTGTATGGTTAACTAGATAAGATACAGGGAAAGCAAGAGGCCAACTGCGGTGGCTGGGCTGCCAAAAACCACAGGGCACGTGACTACTCAGAAAAAACAAACTGACCAGATGATCACTACCTACCCTTTCCTTCATTATAATAACATTTTCATAGCAGCAGAGTTGCAAAATCTGCTCTCATTAGCATAAGGACCAAAGAGAAAGCAGATTCCATTAGAGGAAAACTCCTGACCTCCCAGGAGTTTCCCCCCTTTCACCCCCACCTTCACGTGTGAATAATCAGTCCACTTCCCCCTTAAAAGTTTAGTCATAGGCCAGGAATGTTAATCTCAGGACTCAGACAGAGCGGGTGGATCTCTGTGAGTTCCTGGTCAGCCTGGTCTACATAGTCCTAGGCCAGCCAGAACCGTTATCTTAAGAAAATATATATATATAAATCATAATTAATTTTATCCAAAGCAGGCAGTGGTGGTGTACACCTTTAATCCCAGCCCTTTGGAATGTTTCCAGCCCTTTGGAGACCCAGATATTGGATGTGACTTGTCTTCCCGAATGGCTATGCGCTGAGCAGGTGAGCTCTCTTCCCACGGGCTTCTCAGGTTCTAGTTGACTCCTTCCTATGGACAGTAATCCTCAGTCTGGGCTCGCAACTGTTCTGTCTTCTTGTCGAACCAACACCCAACTCCTGTGGTTCTTTCTGCCATGGGAAGGAAAGGCGTCCCTCACCCTGGAAGACTCTCACCAGCTTTGAGTCAAGAATTCCAACATAATTAACATTGTCTGAAGACCTTTCTCCTTTCCTAACTGTATTTTAATCTTTCTTTCTTTCTTTCTTTCTTTCTTTCTTTCTTGTTTGTTTATTTATTTATTTATCTATTTATTTATTCTTTCGAGACAGGGTTTCTCTGTAGCTTTGAAGCCTGTCCTGGAACTAGCTCTTGTAGACCAGGCTGGCCTCAAACTCACAGAGATCCGCCTGCCTCTGCCTCCCGAGTGCTGGGATTAAAAGAATACGCCACCACCACCAACTGTCTGCTTCTCCCTTTCCAACTATAAACCTGCCATTGTCTAGGAATCTCATCAGAAACCCTGTGCCATCCTAAGGGCTCCTGGTTTTATCTTGTCAGCATGTGGTCCCATCCAAAGTACCTTAGGGTCACTGTATAGCCTCAGGACTAGAGGGGGAAAGAGACCCTTAGAATCCTGTTAAGCAATTGAAATTCCAAAACCTTCCAAAATCCCACATACAATCACCATCAAGACACCTAGCAGTGTCACCTGAGAAGTCCACACACTCACTCTTGGGCGTGCTTTACATTTTACCCTGGGCACCTTCCCATTATGAATAAACTCCAGCTTCTTCCTACTGACTTGTGAAACTCTCTTCTGTGTCAAAACTATGCTGAGATCTCTAAAAGAGTAAGGGAACTCCGCAGACTTGCAGGCCACAGCTGGCTCCTTCCCAGCTGCTCTTATTTACCTCTATTTAAAAACTGTACTTCCTGTTTAAAAAAAAGAAAGAGAAAGGGAAGGAGAAAAGAAAGAAAACAGGCCTTCCCCTTGCTGAAGCCACACAGTGCCCTCCCAGTAGCACCTCTCCATTAGGGCTCACTAACTCCTGGGATTTTGGGATACATTCAAATCATCGTGGTGGTTGGGGAAGCAAAGAGCTATTGGTAGAACGACAGTCCTTGGAAACCCAGCCTGATTTCCAGGGACCAGGCTTGGGTAAGCAGAAAGGGGTATCTTTTAGAAGGAACTCGTGGGATGCCGTGTAACATGTCAGTACCAAGGGAGACAGCATCCACTCCGGGTGAAGTGGAAATATAGGCTCTGTGAGCCCTGCAGAATTCACTGTCTTTCGGCCTTCCCTACTGTTTGGAGACCGCGAGAGGCATTCTTGAATCCCCGCCTGTATATATCTGAATGCTGTGTGCGGGACAAGGAAAGAGCGAAGGGTACCAAACTCCACAGCAGTAGCTGACTAACTAGTGTACAGGTCTGCCCAAGGAGTCTGAGGTCATATCCAAGAGGCCACCATGGATCAAGGACACAGTTTATCTTGGCTAGAGGCTTCTTTTCCCTTAAGGTAAGGGTGTCTGGGTGTCTTTCTCTCCTGAAGCCTCCTCTGCTCAGGGCTCTGAACCCTTCCTGCGCACCCCGGGACACGGTGTCGGGGTTGGATGATACTTAGATGGATCCCCTTTGTCTGGAACAGCCAAAAACCGACACAGGGTGCTAGTCAGGGGCTGCCCACTCAGGAGACCAGAAGCCTGCTAAGTCAAGGACACTCTGTGCGCTCCTGAGACAGGCAGGCTGCAGGACTAGCTCAGCACAGAAACAGAGAACAGAAACTCACAGCCAGAGCTGTTGTCATGTGCACTTTATTGAATCCACTGTGGACAGATGCAGGAAGGTACCATTTGCATACGCGTAGGGTAAAGGAAGGGTCACGGGGCGGGCAGCTGTGGACTGTGGAGCGCAGGGCAGGACTAGAATCCAGAATGTGGCATTCTCTGAGAAAAGGCTTGAAAGACAGCCACAGAGGTGGTGGAGACAATGATGATGCAGATAATAACCATTAGGATGCTGAAGATCAGAGAGCTGATATTCAGGCATTTGGCAGTGGAGGCGTAGGCCTGGGCTCCAATCATATCACCCACCATCTTCCTGTCCCTGGACTGGAGGAAACCAGACGTAAGAGGTCCGCCCTGAGAGCCAGGTGCTCTGATCCATTTCCCCCATGTCCCCCCTGCCCACTGCAGCCTCCCTCCGTTAGGCCAGGGAACGGCCTCTCTTTTCATGTACACAAACTCAAACGATGGGGCAGGCCCCAGTACTGATGCACACCCCACTTTCCATACAGCTTAGACCCCAGTCTGCAGGGTGAAGGACATTTCAGGAACGGGGTGGGGAAAGTCTGGCCCCAGAATCCCCAGGCAGCTTCATCTTATCGAACTATAGGAAAGTCTCCAGACGGACAGACAGACACACAAACAGGAAGTGTACACACAAACTTACTCTCTGACACAAAGGACCCCCTCACACACACGCACATCTTGGTGCCATCTGAGTAGATGAAGCTTCAGGCTCCCACACACCCCCTCACACTGTCTCTGCCACCCCCACCACACTCACCTTCACAGAGTAGGCATAGGCAATGAAACCCAGGCAACAGACGTTCAAGAAGAGGGCATTGAACAGGGACCAGACCACATGGTCAGGCACAGAGACCTCTCTGGGCATGTTGATCACGGTGGTTCTCACCACAGCTGAGTTATGGGGTTCCCCCAGTTCAGTCACCCCATACTCCTCTTTGATTGTCTCATAGCTTGGGGGAAGTCCGGCATTGGTGCTCAAGAAGACTTGGGAATTATGGCTCATGGTACTGACTCGAACAATCGCCCCGTCTGGAGGATGGCTGCAGCTACCCTGGCTCTGTGGGCCCGCCCTTTCTCTAGGAGTTTCCTTTTCCTGTTGGTGGGTTTGTCTCTAGAAGGCCTTACTGTAGGGAATTGGCTAGGTACCAAAGGGGGCGGCACTAAAGACTCGAGGATCAAATTACTTCAGCTGTTAAGGTACAGAGACAGACAAACTTCCTGGGGTCATGACTTGTACTAGGGACAAAACTTGTCCCAAGGTCTCCACCTCCTGCTTAGAATTGGAGTTCTGAAACTTTCCCTAGGCCTGCAAGTCTCCCCAGCCCAGAAAAATAGTTGCAGCACCTCACTGTGCCTGTGCAGAGCCACAGCCAAACCAAACCCAAACAAACCTCCACCCTCACACCCCTTGAACATCCCCAAGCCCAGCCTCACTGCCTGGGCTTCCTCTAATGAAATCCATGCCTCCCCCACCACCCCCACCCCATCCCTGGCCCAAACAAGCTGTTGCAGAGGCTGGGGAGTACTGCCGTCAGTGGAGGAGGGAGGAGCCTTCCAGTCCAGGGCCTGGATGCTCCTGGCTTAGCTGAAGAAGGAAAATTCCAGTCACTTGGCTGCAGCCTGAGAGCTTATGGAAGGCAGATGTTTCCCTGCTAGTTGTGAAACAGTTATTGCTAACGTGAAGCCTGTAGAACAGCCACATGGACACCCCACCCCCAGCCCCCTTTATCCCCCTCCCCGCCCTGAGTAACTGTCAGAATCAAGGTAAATTCCTTTGTGGTGAAGGGCACAACAAATCATTTGTCACTGTAACCTATTCAGCAACCACACATTTTTCCCCCCAAGCTGCATCTTGCAGGGCAGGGTAGATATAGGAGCAGATTAATAAACCTAACTCCAGAGCGCCTGTTCACTGCTGGATGTGCAACCTGAGAGACTCAAAAGCTGGCGCAGGGTACAGGTCTGTAATCCCAGTACTTGAGAGATGTGGGCAGAAGGATCCGTTCAAGGTCATCCTCGCCTACATGAAACCAGCCAGGGCTACATGAAATCTTTCCTCAAATAAATGAATAAATAAGAAGTAAGAAAAATTTAGAAATGTCCCAAAGGGGTGGGGGAATGAGCATTTCTTCTAAAATATGCACAATGGCAACAGGCTCCATATACTTGGTATCAAAAAATGTTGATGGGGGCTGAAGAGATGACTCAGGGGTTGAGAACATTGGCTGCTCTTCCAAAGGTCCTGAGTTCAATTCCTGGCAACCACATGGTGACCCACAACCATCTGTAATGAGATGTGGTGCCCTCTTCTGGCATGTAGGCATACATGCAGGCAGAACACTGTATACATAATAAATAAATAAAACTTTAAAAAAGAAAAGAAAAGAAAATGCAGATCAAAGCCCCAATGTCAAACTGCTCGTATCCACTAGATGTGCTAGGGAAAAGCAGATAGCCATTATGTTTTAGAAGCAAAGAAACCAGAACTATGACACCGCAGGCTTTGCAGGCAGTGGGCAGATCTCTTCTACAACCCAAGGTCCCACTTCTGTGTCTGTCAGAATGAAAACGTGTCTACGTGTGGACTGTATATCCCGCATCTACAGCAGCAATAGAAATTAAATGTCTATCAACTGACAAATGGAACAAATGGGAAAATCCAGAAAATAGAGTCATTGGGTCACAAAATGAAAGCCTGGGTATATGCTAAGCCTTGGAAACCGTGCTTAGAAGGACAGAAACAGGTAAGTGGTTCCCAGGGTCTAGAGGGGAAAAAGAATGGGGTAAGGTGTCTTGAATTCTTGATTCCCCAATTAGTGGAACTGTTTGGGAAGGGTTCAGAGGTGTGGCCTTGTTGGAGGTGTGTCGCTGGGGATGGCTGAGATTTCAAAAGCTCATGTTAGACCTTCTGTCTGTATGTTTCTCTCTCTCTCTCTCTCTCTCTCTCTCTCTCTCTCTCTCTCTCTCTCTTCTGCCGCCTGTGTTATGGACCAGGATATAAAGCTCTTAGCTACTGCTGTACCACCATGTCTGTCTACATCCTGCCATGATGATCATGGACTAACGCTTTGAAACTGTAAGCAAGTCCCCAATTAATGTATTAATGTGGGATTTTCCTCCGTATGCTGTGAATGTTTTACTGTCGTTGATTAATAAAGAAGTTCCTTTGGCCTAAGATAGGGCAGAACAGAGAAAGGTGGAAAAACTAAACTGAATGCAGGGAGAAAGAAGACGGAGTCAGAGAGACTCTATGTAGCTGCCAAAGGAGAAAGATGCCAATCAACCACTGAGGATACAAGACATGTAGAAAATGAGGTAATTCCACAGCCTTCTGGCAATACACAGATTTATAAAAATGGGTTAATTTAAAATATAAGAGCTGTTAGGAATATGCCTGAACCATCGACCAAACAGTGTTGTAATTAATATAGTTCCTGTGTGATTTTTTTGGGGTGTGGATGGAAGGAAAATGAAAGCAGTTTCTGTTTACATCCAGTTAAATATTTTCTTTTATAAGAGTAGCCATGGTCGGGGCTGGAAAGATGGCTTGGTGATTAAGAGCACTGGCTATTCTTCCAGAGGACCTGGGTTTGATTCCCAGCACCCACATGGCAGCTTACAACTGTCTGTAACTCTACCTCCACGGGATCTGACACCCTCAAATAGACATGCATACAGGCAAAATACCATTGCACATAAAATAAAAACAATTGAATCGTTTTTGTTTTTTTTTTAAAAAAAGTTGCCATTGCCAGGCAGTGGTGGCACACCCTTTAATCCCAGCACTCAGGAGGCAGAGGCAGGCAGATCTCTGTGAGTTCGAGGCCAGCCTGGTCTACAAGAGCTAGAGCTAGTTCCAGGACAGGCTGTAAAACTACAGAGAATCCCAGTCTTGAAAAAAAAAACGTTGCCATGATCATGGTGTTTCTTCACAGCAATAGGACTGTAACTAAGACCCTGATCTTTCCCAAATGTGATCCAAATAAGCCTAACTTATCCAGGATCTCTCCCACCTTCATTAAGGACTTCAATAGTCTCCCTGTGGCATTTGACCTAACCTAGAAAGGTATCCACATCGTTCGAACAACTAAGAAAAGTTCCACGTCTGGATTTTAATACCATCCCTGAACTGATGAGGCTCACTTACAGAATTCAGTTACAGCCAAGCTAGCTTTCATTGCTGGATCTGATGGAGAACTTTGCAGGTCATATCAGGACACTTAAAGGAAAGAGTGGGGCATCGAGCCACCAGTGCTGTGTAATTACCTGTTTATTAGAGACAGTAGCTCGAACAGTAAGGTCATCGAATAGAAAGGATAAAAGCTCCACAACTATAAATTGTGGAAGATAATACACAGCTTGTCAGAAACATCATCTATTTTGAGCTGAAACCGTGGGCAACTATGCTAATCTGGATACTGAGAGTCAGAAAGGCCAAGCCATCCTGGTTGTATATTTTATAAGACAAGGCTCTTCAGACATTGGACAAAAACTAGACCAAGAGTCCCCAATCCCATTCTGCGCTTTAAGCTCTCAATTTGGGTGACTTCTACTGGGTCTCAGAAAACAGAATCAACAAGTACCAGGCTCTCAGCAAACCTCAGAGCTAACTATAAAACTTTAACCAACTTTTAATACTACTGCCTCTGCCTGGTCGCAACACCGTGGATTCTCTACAATACACCCGAGGAAAGCAAAGTAGGCTCTACTTGCACTGCTGGGTGTGACCAATAAGGAGCCACACTTCCCCAGCCTGAGGCTACATGGCTCGCAGGCCGCAGGCGTAGCAGTTTTACGACAGCAGATACAAGCTGTTGTAGGAGCCAGAAGGTGTGAAAGCTTGTTCAACTGGTCTCCTTGGTTAACCACCTTACTTTCAGTTCTCTCCTCTGCCAATGGCTTTTGTTTGAGAAAGAGTCAATACTGTTTGACTGATGGTATTGAGGTTTCAGTATCACTTCCTTGAGCCCTGGACAGACAGGACCCATGATTGAGTCCTGCCATTGGTACTTGTGAAGGGGGAAAAATGTAGAACCCAGGGCAGTTTTCCCAGGGCTATGTGGTACACGCAGCCGCCAAGATGAGCTCCATAGATCATCAGGAAGATAGGCCTGAGTCTCAGTTTGCCCTAGAGCAATGCTAAACCTTAGACTCCTTCCTGGGACCTGTTCCTTCTTCGCAGCTAGATACAAACTTGTCCTGATTTTACCCTCAGAATGACTAATTCAGCTTCTTTACTAACTTCAATTCAAAGTCGTTTCAGAGTGTGGAGTTCTAGTCCTGTGAAAGCTGCTAACTTTTTGTAGACTGTTGGGAAGTACAAGTTAGTCGGTCATCCCTGAAATACTGATATAATTAATTACAGGAATAAGCCTGTATATGTTTTCAAAGCCAAATTTAAAACAAGTAATGAGAAGCAAAGTTTGTCTAATCAGACATACCTAGGCAGCCCTCATACTTCAGAGATCTGCAGTATATGACATTTAAAACAATGATTAAAAGGCTTATTATATTAAACAGAGACTCTGAGATCCTAGCAGTGACCTAAGGTCTCCAAAGAAGATTATGGAACACCACAATGTCTCCTGGATTACAACAACGCTGACCACTGGGTGAGGTGCCCCAGTGCAACACCTGCTGCCAGGACCCCGTCCAGACTGTGGACAGACAGCAGGACATTGGAGAATCAATTGCACCACTTTTGCCTAGACAAAATAAGGTCAGTCTTTTCCATGTCCCTCTTCCACATGAAAAATATTTCACCTTATGGGCCTGGCTAAGATTGTAAGACTGCTGTTCTGGATACTTCTGCCTCTAATGCTATGGAGACATGGGTATGACTAACTGTATATGGACTCTGGTCCCTATCATTTTTAATAAATTTGGAAACGACTAGGTCAGTACTCAGATATACTTGATTTATCCTTCAGGGATATCTGATAGTATTGATGGCTAGGGCAGTCATAATGTCAGATTAGCAGCTAAAGCTGTTCAGCTCCTTCCACAAAGCTATAGCCAGGGGGCTGGAGAGATGGCTCAGAGGTTAAGAGCACTGACTGTTCTTCCAAAGGTCCTGAGT